ACTGGGACTTTAAGAATGAAAGATGATAGTTTATTTCAGAGTGGAGAAGAAAAGAACCAAGCCGATAATTTCAGTTCATTATAAAGTACATAAAACACAGCGTGGATATGAGGGACAAGATGGCCATGAGAGAGAAAGAGGTTAAAAAGGCGCTGAGAAGGTGATTTGGAGGCTGGGAGGAAAAGAACGTCCCCCTGAGACATCTGAGCACAGGGAACACAACCCAAGGTCTTTCCACGGAAGCCTGGTGGTCAACGGCAGAGACCCGGCCGGCTTGGCAAGAGAACCTACACGGGTGGGGGGTGGAGTGTAAGATGACTTGGGAGGCAGGAAGAGCCTCCTTCCTGTAGTCCTGCAGTTCCACCTCCACCCCCACCCCCATTAGCTCTGTGACATCCCCACCCCCATTAGCTCTGTGACATTGGCTCTGGACACTGCAGTATGAATGGAAGGTGAAGGAAAACCTAGGATGAGGCCCGATGCCACCCAACAGCCTAGATCTACCTATGGCCAAGTACGAGGTCTTGTCCCCAACTCCTGTCTTCTTGAAACCTACAAGAGTCTATGCAATCCTTAAATAAGAGTGACCACTTGACTCCACTCTACCCGAATCCCTTATTCCATTCAGCGCCTGGTCAGATTGCTATGAGTTTCTAAACAACCCCCTTCACTTTCTGTACGCAGCCCCTCCGGAACCGATCAGGGACCGAACTGTGCCCCACCACGTTTTGCATGACCCTGGTGTATGTAGGCCCGCTGGGTGCCAAGCACTGCGCTGGACCCTGGGGCTTCCAAAGCAGACGCTGGTCTTGGGGCGCTTTCAGCCCAGAGGCAGCGGCACACGTCCACTTGTGCCTCCAGCAAAATGGGAGAGGCGGGGCATTGGGAACTCATCCGGAACCTGCAGATCCCGCCGATCTGGGTCAGAAGAGCGCACTGGAGCCCAGCGCTCCGGAGTCCTCAGTTACCCGCTCGCAGCGAGTGCAGCCCTGACACTCCTGCTCCAAGGCAGAGGCGAAACGAAAGCAAAACAGCACATGCCCGACTCGGTTCTCGAAGGCGCGGGATGGGTGGGAGGGGGCCAGTGGACTAGGAGCCGCCGGCTCGGCGACGCCGGTGGCTGTGCAGTGGCCAGGTGCGCTCCAGGCGCCCCGCCCGCGGAGCCGAGTAGAGCTCTACACGCGCGGAGCCCCGCGCCGGCCCCACAGCGACGCCACAGGCCGCCGGCGGGACTGCAGTGCGCGGAGCATCCCGGCGCCTCCCCAGGCTCTACCGGCCGCGCATGCCCCGTGCGCTGCTCGAGGCTCCCCGCCAGTCCACCGTGCGCCCCCGCAGCTCCTGGGGCTGCCCCGCAGGGCGTGAGCTGAGGACACACGGTCGGAGAGAGCGGCTGGGAAGTGATCCACGAACCCGCGCCCTGCAACCTCGGACGAAAGGTTGCTTACTCACTGGTCGCAGTTGAGAAAAGCAGGCATCTTCAAAGACCGGCAGTAACTTGCCCAAGATCACACAGCTGGTCAGGATGAGTAATGAGGTCGAGATTCACACTCTGCAGCCTTCACTGCCGGCGCCCCATGACTTCGATCAAAGCCACCTTTGAGTGCCAGGGCTGTCGTATACCACCTTGGGGGAACCTGGGCAATAGGTCTATATGCCTCTTTCACAGAAGAGTAAACTAAGGCTCAAACAAGCTACTAGAAATTTCTGAAATGTTTAAAAGGAAAAAAAAAAAGCTGCTTTCATTGGGTCTTTTGTCTGAGATTTGCAAACACTGTCTCCAAACACTAGTGAAAGATCCTGGCTGGGCTCCAAGAGATCCGGCCTTCTCCCATGGGGTTTAGTCAAGTAATACAATGGTCAGGAGGCGAGAGGCCACTAGAAAAAATTTAAAAATAAACGGACTAGTGTTGTGTGGAAAGAGGTGCCGAAAAAGAGAACGAGAACGGCTGATAGAGGACTTCTTCAGAGCCACAAGTCCCTTACTGGCAGAATTTGGGAAAGAACCCCATAAGGGCACAGTTTTTCTAGGGTTATCTAAACCCACATTACCCTTCTTCTTTCCCAAACATGCCCAACTCCTGCGCTCCTCAGGGCCTTTGCCCATGCTCCTCTGCTGAAAGCTCTGTATCTTTCTGCCTTCCAGTTCATCTGAAAGGCCCCTTCAGTGTCTTCCACAATCACGCTTTCTCCTGCTTTGCCTTCTTTGTTTTCCACATCAGACTACCCGGTTTTATTTCCTCCCTGACATCTCACACTCCTGAACTGTAATTCTATATTCCTTGCAGGTTTCTGGTTTACAAGCTCCAACAAAATGAATGCTCCCTGAGGGCTGAAACTTGCCTTGTTCTCACTCTGTCCTAAGTCCCTGCCTGTGCCTGAGCCAGAAGGCACAGGACAATAAATGCTGAAATGGATGAAGTGGCTTCATTTAAAGCTTCTCCCTAAATCTTAGCCAATTGTAACTGGGAGGTTATGAGTTTTTGAGGCTATTGTAACAAATTAAAATATTTCAGATTTCTGGAGGCTAGAAATCTGAGGTCAAGGTGTCAGCAGGGTCATGTTCCCTCCAGAACTTCCAGGGGACAGGAGATGCTTCCTTGCCTTTCCCAACTTCTGATAGCCCCAGCTGTTTCTCGCTTTATGGTTATAAAATCCCAATCTTTTCCTCTGTCTTCAGTGCTGTCTTCTTCCTGTGTAGCTCTGTCTTCATGTGGCATCTCTGTCTCTTTTCTCCTTTTTTTCCAAAGACACCTGCCACATTGGGTACAGGTCCACCCTAATGACGTAGTAACTTTATTATATCTGCAAAAAACTATTTCCAAATAAGGTCACATCCACAGGTAGCAGGGCTTCAACCTCTCTTTCTGGAGAAGGTAATTCAGTCCACACAGAACACTAAAGGAGGAATTTAGGGTAAGTATGCTTGACAATGGGAAAGAAGACAAGCATGGCAGGTGTAAATGGAGAAACTGTGCAGTGGTTCACATTTTGGATAAACTGCCCCCCATGAAAAGATTGTTGGCGAACAACACTCCAGCCTTAATGGTTTCTATAAGAGTGGTTTGTATCCCTGCATGGCTCCTTTTCAGGCTGTAAACATCTGGTTTCCAGACCCTCTGCAAACTGTTGTATCTCACTGCATTTGGGCTTCTGAGAATTTTCTGTTCCTCTTAGCTGCCAGGGACTGTGATACAACTAGACCTGCTTTCTCTTGCTAAATGTTGACAACTGCCTATGAGAAAAGTCTTATGGTTAACTGAATTTTAAAGGGAAAATTGAGGTTCAAGCAGGTTAGGGAGCAAGTTTACAGCTTCTACTCACCAGAGTTGGGATTTATAACACCTCTAATTCCAGAGAAACTTCCAGGCAACCCACAGTAAAACTTCCATCAATACTAGGTGACTTATGAAGGTGGAACTGAGATATGTGAGTAAAGTTACAGAGATACAATTTAAACTAAAATGTAGGGGGGAAAATTCTGTAATTCAGACTGGAGGTGTGACTCAAGTGGTAGAGCACCTGCTTTGCAAATGCAAAGCACTGAATTCAAACCCCAACGTTACAAAAAAAAAAAAATCTCCTTACTAGAAATTCCCATTCAGTGGCCAATTCAGATTCTCCACACCCTTCCCATCCCGGCCCCACTCTTGAGGGAGACTTTGAACTCTGTGCCCAAATGTTTTGCTGAGAAAAGGTCTCTCAGCTTCTCTGCGCCCTAGGACTCAGGGGACCAAGAATAGCAGCTCGCTTATCAGGAAGTCCAGAGGATTGCCTCACAGGAGGTGGAAAAGAGGTGCTGTAGGCACTAACATTCTCTGCCTGGTTCCTGCTCTGAGGTGCAGAGGTCTTGCCCGGCCTGAGGTTGCTCTTGTGGCTGGCAGAACTCCATTTCTGAATGCCAGGAATGGTCGCAGCCCTGCATCTCCGCCCTGCAGCACAGTGCGCGCTGTCTATACACCTGATCTCCACTGCCTATAGGAAGGGGCCTCCTTCCGCCTTCCAGAGCTTAGAAATAAATCTTCACCTGTTATTCCTGGAGGATCTACACTTGTGGTGACGCTGCTCCTCTGCCACAATGTGTCCTCGCTGGGAAGCAGTTTTATTTTGTGAGGAGCAGTATCGGAGTCACTGAAGTTGGAGAGCCAGGCGGTATGGTTTACTTCTGTCCTCAAAACGCTCAATGCTAGGTAAGTTTTTCTTACTGTAGACCACAGGTGTACATATGTGGAGTGGGGACGGGTTCCGGGAAAACCGTATTGGAGTCTAGGAGACAGGAACAGAGCGCCGGTACTACAGAAGCGCACACCATCTGCAGAGTGTCCCACGTCTGTCCATCGTTGTCCACTCTGACCCTCATAATCTCCTGCGCGCAAGATGAGGCTTTGGTCCTCAAGTATGATCTCCGCCAGCTTTGGAAATGAAAACACGGAAATTTTGAGAGGTCAAGGGACTTCTATGTCTAAGCACCAGCAGCTACGATGTACAGGAGTGGGATTCGAACCCAAGACTTCAGCGCCATCTCCTTCACTGTTGCTCTCCAAAGAGGAGGCATTTGAAGCCTTGAGAGCCTGAGCTCCTTTGTTCTGACTTCACTCACCGGCTGCAGAACTACAAGCTCCATGAGGGCAGGCACCCAGTCCGCCTCCCTAAGGCGCCGAGGCCCGGCAGGCGCTCACCAAAGCGCGCTGGGCTCACGGGGAGGCGCAATGCGGTCTCCTTCTGTAGAGCAGGCAGCTGAGCGTGCAGCCTAAGTGTGGGTGCGAACGCGCGGGGCTGTGATCGAAGCCCCGAGCAGAGCCCAGAAGCCAGGCCAGCACCGGGGCTGGCACCGGCGCGGCTTCAGGGACCTCAGACGCGGGCCTGGGCGCTGCAGTCGCGCCGCACTGCGCACGCGCGCCGCCGCTCCGGCTCCGCCCCCCCGGGTAGGGACCTACAGCAGGCTCGGCGGCAGCGGCGGCGGTGTGCGGCCGGCGGTGTAGACGCCTCTCCGTAGGGACCTGGCACGGTGGACCTGCCAGCCAGGTGAGTGGCTGATCGGGAGGGCGAGGCCCACCCGGGTCCGCGTGCCCGGGACAGACTGGGCGCACCCGGGGGGTCGCGGAGGCGGGGACCGGGGACGGGGCGGGCACCACCGGGTTGGGACCGCGGCCCCGCGTGCATGAGCCGCCCCTCGCCTGCGTGGCGGCCGGGACATCGGGGGGCGAGGGGTCCTCGCGGGCCGGGGTCAGGAGCCGGCCGGGGTAACAGGCCGCGGACCCGGCGCGGGGGGAGTTGGGGGGGGCGGCGGGCCGGGCCGGGCCGGGCCGGGCAGGGAGCCGGGACGCGGCGGCCGGAGCGGGTGTCGCCCCCGCCCACAGCCTTTGTGTCGCCGCGGCCCGCGGAGCCGCCCCGCGCGGGGGCACCGAGCGCGACGCGTCCTGCGCGGGCCGTTTTGCGCGGTCGCCGGCCGGCCGGTCCCCGCCCCCAGCGTTTTAAATGATGCATCGCTCCGAGGATCCCTACCGGTCGACTCCGAGCAGGAAGTGTCGTAAGGAGGCCATTTTTAAAGCCTCCTGCGGGCCTCGGAGGCCAGCGTTGACGCTTTTCGGTCGGTTTTCAGTAGTCAGAAGACACCCCCACCGCGATCCCGCAGGGGACCGGGACGTCCCCCGGGACACCACGATGTAATCTCGCTCTTCCCGCGCCACGCCGTGCGACGTGGGCGCGTGGTGGATGAGGTCCACGGTGTGACCGTGCCGACAATAAACTTGAAAAACAGACTGGCATTGTCTTTCCTTGGGAGTGTTGGAGAGGGTGTCCGGGGTGCCCTGTCCACGGAGGACCTCCGCCTGGGTGGGGAGAACAGGGGGCCCGAGGATGAGACATTGAGTTCCAAATGCTAATGTCACCTTTTGTGGAACCGCCCAGCCCCAACCTTTTTTTTTTTAAATCTTGTTGCTTGGGGTCTGGAGGACAATTTAAGACCAGAGAAAAGATGCAAAAGAGTGAACAATGCTCAACCCTTAACCGACAAGGAAAAGCCAAAGGAGAGAATAGAAGAAAACATTGACACCCCCCCCCATATATATGTTGGGTATTTAACGTATCTCTTTAAAATGCCTCTAGCTTTAAAAACTAGGATGTTGAACAATTTCTCGAAATAAAGTTAAAAAATGAGAAATCTAGAGCCTTGTCCTGTTTAAAAACAGAAGCTTGCACAGCTAAACTGTAATGTGTTGGAATCCTTAAAACATTATCCTTTAGAACTGAAATCACCTCGGAAGAAAAGCTTGGTCTCCAGCAGCTTGAAGTACTTGGCTACAGAAGAACACAGAGGGAACATGGGAGTGTTGGTGGCTGTCTGAGTCACATATGCAAAGTTCAACGTAGCCCATGACTGTCCAGGTCAGCAGACAATAGCCAAGGGTTCTGGAAGCCCAGAAAATACTGTTTAGAAACTGTTACATAGCTTAGGCAGAGTACAACTAGAGCATTCAGATTTTTAATTGTATGATACTATCTTTAACCAAGGATGCATTTTTTTTTAATTTGGGTCTGAGTAACTTTTAAAAATAATACTTTTGAAGTATTCATTACAAGTGCAATTTCCAAGCAGCAAAGGAAGAGCATTGCTATTTATTGGGATGCTTCCCTGATGTTATGCTAAACTAAGGTAGATTTTTTAAAAAATCTAGCGATGGCACTCCTTAAGTAAGAGTGTCTGGGGCAGTGCTTGCGCAAGAGGAAAAGCAACCACTTTATTACAGTCACTAGGAAGTTTGCCATTTCTCTCATTCACTCATCCTTCCAGCCAGCCATGTTCAGTGCCTTCCATGGCCACGCCCTGTGCCTCTGGTTGTGTTAAGCAGTAGCCTCATTAGTGAGAACTTTCCCAATCTTGATGGTCTCAAACTGCCTGTTGTCTACTGCATTTTGTTGTTCATATATGCAGACCCAGCCAGCTGCAGTTTCCAGGATTTATCCTTGGAGTAAAAGCAGGTAATCTTGGGCTGGTGGAGTAGCTCAAGCAGTAAGAGCACCAGCTTGGCAAGTATGAGGTCCTGAGTTCAAACCCATTGCTGACAAAAAAAAAAAAAAAAGCAGGTGATCTTTTAATCCAGATATTCCTATCATGGGGTAGAGGTTGGGAGGTACCATAATCACCAGGGAAGAATTTTAATGGAAAATCATCTAGTTCTTTGGGTCACTTGAATTCTGGGAATTTTTTTTTTCTTAACTCCTAGGGTAACTACCACACACCAGTGCCCAAGAAGCACTTCTGGGGCTCATTCCCTTTATTTTCTAGAAGAAATGTGTCCAAGAAAGCACAGCTGTGCAGCTCCAGGACTTAAACCCAAGTGTCTGGCTTCTGTTGCAGGCCTGTCTATGCAGCCCAGGGGTCTGAGCATAGTCACCTACAGCAGGGCCGGAAGTCCTCAGCCTAAAGGCCCTTGGTGCCTGAGGAGAGAAAGCCTTAAGGGAAGGAAGAGCCCAGGAGACTTGCCACACTTGACTCACATCTGCAGCCAGCTCCTGGCAAGGACAGTACTCAAGAAGCTGGGATCCTGACCGTGACTTCCGTTTACAGCACACAGCAGGGTAACAGAACAGAGTTTAGATCGGATGCCAGCTGCTGCTTCTGCTGCTGCTGCTCTCTCCAAGTCTCTGTGACCTAGAAAAGCCACATTCTCCAAGCCCATTCCCTCAAAAGAAGCAGGTAATTGAAGGATTGCTTTGAGGAGTGCCCAGGTAACACTTGAATCTGCTTCTGCAGGCACCCTGCCACATGCCTGGGACAGAGGTGCTCAGGCATTGACAAGCAGCAGCCACTGAAAGCACCCTGGTCAGCTCCCTGATGTAGGAATCCTCACCAAAGCCACCCATTTCCTTCTCCCAGCCAGTCACATTCGGTAGGGACAGCAGCTCGTGGCAGGTACGTGGATAACAGTCCTGGTGTGTTTATTATACTTGGCCAGGCCTGGCACCACCAGGAACATTCAAGTTCCAAGGATCCGTCACTACACACCTTGTGGAGAGCATCAATGATGTTTTGAAGGTCACACAACTAGGCAAGGTTAGAACCCTGAGTCTGCTTATCTAGGCACCCATTATAATCCCAAGGCAGTGGTTTTGCCCCACCTCCAGCATGAAGTACTATATAGGATGTTACATTATTCCTGCCATTCTCATGTCGCCTGTACCTGAATTCAGGTGCTTCTCTTCCTGGGCTATGTACTAGAATCATCTGGGAGGGTCTTGAAACCCCCCCGCCCAGTGTCTGGACTGCACCCCATCCTCACCTCCTTCCCAATTAAAGTAGAGCCTTTGGGGATGAGGCCCAGGCAAGCCCAGGGGTGATTCCGGTGTGCAGTAAGGTAACTTATTATTCCCCAGGCTCCCTTTAAAAAGTCTTGGCCCCATCCTGACAAGGATTGCCCTAGTGTAGCCAAGGCTAAGGTCCCAATGGTGTAGGGGGAAGTATTTCTTTTCATTTTCAAAATTCTGTTTTTGTTTTGAGGCAAAAAAGGGAGAGAAATAGTAAAGTGTGTGACCTTCATTTTTAGAGACCTGAAGTCACTTTTTATGTTTCAAAATAGAATTTTGTAATATTGCTTAGAATACACCTTGTTTATAAGTGTGTGTGCATAAATGTATATACACACATAATACCATAAAACATACTGTCTGCTCCTTAATATTTCTTTACATATAAAACTATGCCAGTAAGGCATTATTTCCTTTTACCGGTAAGAGAAGCCAGGCTCAGTTAGGTTGAAAGTCAGAAATCAGACAGCTACCTAGTAAGTCAAAGACCTAGATTTTGAACATTGTTCTTCTTATCCCACGGTCATTATTTTCGCAGCCTTTTTGTACCATTCTGTTGCCCAAGCCATACACTTGATTTCTGTAGGGTGCCTTGGGTGGTGTGTATGTCAGGCTCTTTTGTCATTGAGGTGGCAGTCAGTTGCCATTCTGCGCTTGTGCGTGCAGGGTAGGTTAGCAGAAGGATTACAGTGCTGTATTGGCCTTGTTGCCTAGTAGAGCCTTTTCCCATCCAGTTCAACTGATTCATTGATTGATTATCAAAGCGTTTATTGAGGCAACAGTTTTGTAAATGTCCTACTGAGGAGGTAGTTGCAGTTTCCATGTTTAGTGTTAGATTTTTCCTGACCCAGGGTCACTCTGCTCCTGGGCACTCTGGGTTTGAGTTGTGTTCAAATTTGGGTCACTTGGGACTGGGTAGTTAGAAAAGGCTGCTGCTCCCCCCCACACCCCCAAATAGACAAAGGGAAAGCATTGGTACAGTTTTTGAGTGGCCGTGCCATGGCCTGAGGTCTTTATACCTTATCTTCTCCTAATCATCCCTCAACCTTGATGATAAGCCTGTTTCCTTGCCCAGCAGTGAATAGTGAGAATTCAAGACCCAGCAAATAAGAAACAGTCAGAGTTTGAACTGCAGACTTCCAGCTTCGTTCCCTTTGGTCTTCACCGGGACAGGAGCTATATACCTGCCCAAGCAAAGGAGGTGGGAGCAGCTCCATGCAAAGGGGATTTCTGGTCAGAATATCTGCCTGCAAAAGCTGCTTAGGTGTGCTTCTCCATCCAAAAAGGATACATTTTGCCAGTCAACCAAGACTGACATGCTGTATATCTGTGATCGGACACCTAGCATTCATTTGCTCCAGGGCTGTTTCACAGTGTGGCTAAGGGTCAAGACAAGAGAGTGAGGAGAAGGCAGGTAGTAACTAGATGACTTTTAACCCCAGAGTTCAGTGTGTCCCCCCACAATGACATTCTTTCCCATGGTGAATGTAAGCAGCTGGCAGCCCCTTTGCCACTAAAGCCGATGGGTGGTTTGGCCTCAAGAGGAAATCCCTTTCAGGCCAAGAGTGGAACAAATATGATTAAAGTTATAAAATGAGATTCAGCGTATGTTCTGGAAAGAGCAGTTGTCAGGAACCTAAGAAACCTGTATTTTAGTCCCTCTGACTGTTTAGGTGCTTGGCATATTCTTCATTAAAAATGGAAAGTAGTATGTTTGA